CGTACGGCTCACGGCTGGGCTGGCATAATCAGAGCACGGACAGCCAGACACTCCAAAGGCCGCAGTACTAGAATAGTCAGACGGATCACGGCTGTAGATACTCAGGACACCCTGTACACTTCAGACGCTCTGCAGTACTTCGGAGTGTCAGTCACAACTGGCAACTCGCGCGGAACACTGTGATGAACAACACAAAACTAGGCAAGCAAGTGGAGAGAACGGAATGCAGCCACCGAGTAAGGACAAATAAAAAATCCCTTATTCCTAATCCCCTTATCAATGCGGTGACGTTAAGGGGGTCGGGGTCTCCGTGCGCCTACCTGTGCGCTTGTTTCCGAGCAGCAGCGGCAGCGAGATGATGACCATGCCGCAGCCGGACCACACGTACTTCATCAGGAACTGCTCCACCATCACGTACCACAGCTTGTTGCGGAAGATGGTGTTCATCTGGCGCATCAGAGACCGGTAGGCCGTCTCCAGAATACCCATCTCCACCTGACGAGCGACGGCAGGAACGGAGTGGCAAACGGTGGTTAGAACATTCAGCCTAGAAGATAGTATCCCTACTTCCAGTTTTCAACCGAAGAAATGAGCTTATTCACTGTGAGATATTCGTCGGAAAGTGTTGGTACTACGCATCCGAATTTGGACCATAAGATTGCACGTGATTAAAAAAACATCGACGTTAACATATGAACAATGCACTTTTAAACGCTATCCGCCATATCGTACAACCATTTACCTATTACATATGCTACTTGTTATCATACAATTATTACAGTAGCTCACACCGACTTAACGCGGGTACCTATTCCATTCAATGACGGTTAACAGCGCCGGTGTATGTCCCACCAGGCACCAACACCCAACAGTTCTTACGGAAGCACGTGTCGCCTCCCCCCCCCTCCCCTCCCCATTACCGGTGCGTGACCCACATCTCCCTACTCCCAGCCGGCGGCCTTGGGGGCGATACGGCGGACGCCCCTCGCCGGTCGGCCTCGAGGGCCCAGATAGCCGGCCGGCCGGACACCCACCTGGTGGCCGCCGTAGAAGGCGATCTCCTCGGCGTTGGCAATGACACGGGAGTGAATGTAGCGCAGGTAGCCCTTGCGGTTGGCCTCCTCGGCCACCAGTTTGCCGAACGGCGGCGAGAGAAGGCGCAGGACCTGACCGGTGAGGCCGATCACCAGACCGGCCAGCAGCATCCCTGGGACACGGGGACAGCAGATATGACAACAGCGTCATAAAAAGACGTTATGAGCGAGTCACTCCTTCCAGCAGGACAAGTGAAATGCGATGTCATAATTATCAGCAAAATCAGCACAGACGACGAGGCATTATTCTAACGAGCTGCCTTACTTTACTCAATCCATTACTAAGCTCACGGAGGTCACTCAACTGACTGATCAGAGTCTCCCACAGTCACTCACCGGGCACGTTGGCGCCGCCGCGGCTCTTGGCCAGCTTCCCCAGCGCCATGACAATGATGACGATGTCCAGCAGCGGCTTGGTCAGGTGCGAGTACAGGTGCGCCACCGAGCTGGTGAAGGTGGTCACGTCGTCGGTCAGGCAGTGGTCGGCGTTCTCCAGCCGGCCGTCCAGGTTGGACACCCGGTAGTAGGTCTGGTTGGCGAAGTAGCGCTCGTAGGCGTATCGCACCAGCTGGGTGCGGAACGCCAGCGCCAGTTTGCTCTCCAGGTAGCGGATCATCGAGTTGGTGTAGGTGGCTGGCAGCGCCACGCACAGCCAGCGCAGGATCATGCGTGTGAAGTTGATGATGTCCTTGCGCACGATGTACTTGATCATGCGTCCCTCGAGGGTGGCCACGTAGACGGAGAGGAAGGTGCGCGCCACCAGCGTGCACGTGTGCAGCCCCAGCAGGGCGCTCTCGCGGCTCAGCACGCCCGGAACCATGATGCGCAGCAGCCGCAGCAGCTCGACGGCGAACTCTTTGTTGACGGCGGCGGCGGCGCGGTGCGGCTGCCTCCGGCGCCTGCCGCCGCCCTCGGAGACGGTGCGCTGCCGCCGCGCCATCAGCGTGGCCAGCAGGCGGCCGAGCGGGCGCCGGCCCACCCGGTACAGGTAGAGGCTGAACACCAGCACGGCCGCCATCCGCGCCAGACTGGCCTCCTGCAGGCCGGTACGGCGCGACAGCGGCGCCAGCAGCTTGGACGAAACGGATGGCATATTGCTGTGCTACTGTTGACACTGCCGTTGGCAGTGCTGCTGAAAGGAGGTCATTCCACAGACTTTAGTCAGTTTCTGAGTCAATGGCTCACCTAATAGCATGTTAAACTGCTATTTAATTGGTGCTGTGCATCAAATCGCTCAGTTATAACTTGGATTTTTGAATATAGAAAATACATAGCCTGTTTTTATTGAGAGGGGTGCATGTTGATAAACACATGGATCCACAAATACCTGTTTTATGCTTTCAATCTTCATTTGTGTATTTCTAGGCTGCTGAGAATAGCAAACAGTAAAAAAGGTAAGGTAAACAGTGGTGATGAATTGTTGGAACCTGATGCTCAGTCAATACAGATTTTCAGCAAAATAGTGTGCACCTTACAGCTTATTTACACTTAAAAGTGGCATGCCAATGCAGAACTTAAGTGCTGGGCACTGGCACTGAGCTGCCTAAGGTGAATGACGCCTATAAGACACATTGTCAGAGATCCAGACTAAAAAGTATGGTAGTCTTAATTATTATCAGATTTTGTTCCTGCAGCAGCTCTCTGTCAGTGAGCTGGTCACTGCCTCACTGTGTGGTGCAAATTCATCATGATGCCAGATGTGGCAGCTGTGACTGTATGCATGGTCCATGGAGGAGTGAAACAGCGAGCCCTTAGTGACACTGTGCTGAAATGCTGTGCTGGGGCAGGATTGTCAAGAAAAAATGGTGCACTGGGGACACAATGGGGTCAGCCTGGGAGAAAATATTTTTATTGTAGTTTGATCTTGTTACAATTGCAGATTTATAAATAACGTAATAAAAGTACTTGGTCTTTTTTGTTATGGGCTAGTGCACATTTCGGTATAAGTATATATTAGGTCCGAGTGGACAATTGTGACGCTGTTGATACAAATATGTAACAGCAAAAAATTTAGGTTTTAGGTTAGGATAGGTTGTAGGTTTGTAGGTTTTAGGTTTTAGGTTGGAAGGTTTGTAGGTTAGGTTAGGTTAGGTTGTAGGTTTGTAGGTTGTAGGTAAATAGGTAAGGTTAGGTCAGGTTTGATTGTTTTTTCTTTTATTTCCAGGACATATAAGTATTATTTTAGAATTCAGGATGTCAAATAATGTTAGAATATAAAAACTTTATCTTTTAACAGGCACTCGGACTTAATGTATACTTTTACCCACATTTCTAGCCTAGTTGGCGCAGAATAGTCAACCTAGCTGGTGCATCTTGTTCCCTGTCACTGTTGCAGTTGGCTGTTGCCTTGCTTCGCACTCTGGTGGTGGGGACAGAGATGGCCAGTGAACAAATGCCCCACTGGAAAAAATGCCTCCACTACGCTGAAGTTCTCGGCGGAGGTGATGCGCCGAAATTTCGGCGCAAGGGTTTATGCGCCGAAATTATTTTACCAAGCCATGCTTCATGCGCCGAAAATTTTCAAGGCTTACTGATGGCTGCAGGCTGTAGCCACGCACTTTTCGTCGAGGGGGGGGGGCTGGCGTGTGTGTGTGACTGTCTTCCATCCAGTGACTACTGTCTACAGACGGTTGTTGGCACGGTCGACGGGATCGGGCAGACAAAAGACATCAGCAGGCCATGCGGGACCGAGCACCAGGGTTCGCTATCACAAAATCTCCTGACTCACAAACTCACTGGCATGTTCCATAACGTAACCTTTATTTTGTTGCCCGGCTCTGATCAGCAGTAGTGCCCAGCCGGTGACTGACGCCTGACGGGGCCTTCAACAGGCGTGGTGCAAGCACGGCCGAAGTGGGATCGGGCAGATACCAGGCCACGCGGGACCGATTGCCAGCGTCCGCTCACAAACCACACGCCGGAAAATGGAAATACAGGAATCACAACGGTCAATACGCACACGATAGCATACGTTATCTGAACTAGGGGATCCGACAATCCATAACCTCACTCTGGATCGATGAACTGTTCCCGCCGTGGGAGAGTCGCAATCAGGTTCACTGAACATGACTTAAATACCCTGAGACGAACACGAGACAAGATAAGTGATATTTAAGATGTTTAACTCCCGAAGACATTTAACCCTCGCCGGCCAAGGGGGGGGGGGTTTGGTGCCACCCCCGGACGTTTTTTTTTTCGCGATTTACGCCGAAGTACGCCGAAAATTTCGGCGCAAGCCGTCGATTTACGCCGAAGTACGCCGAAAATTTTCGGCGCAAACGCCCAACTACGCTCGAGTTCTCGACGAAAGCGTGCATTTTTTCCAGTCGGGAACAAATGGAATGCTATGTATCACCAGTTTTCACTTTCTGATAAAAAAGAAGAAAAATCGGAGGCTTGTAAGGCCGCTCGTAAGGCCTAAATAAAGGTCTGAATTGGATTACAGAGAATTGTGAACAAGGCCATATATAGGTCATATATAGATTGCGAACCTACCTCCTCTTTCTCGTGACCTCGTCCCTCGTCTTTGGTGTTGTGTGGTTGTGTTTCAAGCTATACACTGTGGTTTCAAGATTTGGTCAAAATTGCTGTGTTTTGTTAGATAAATTGGAGTCATCTGAAAATAATCGGGCATGATGGGGGCCAGTCAAATGACATCATAAATTTTAATCTCATTAAATAGAACGCGCTTTTTGCCCATTTCTAAGTCTCAAAACAAGCAGATTTGCACAATTTGCATAATTCATTACAAAATTCTTGTTAAAAAATGCTTAATGTGAACAGGATTTGCAACCGGACCAACTTACTATGGTGCAAATGAGAAGCAATGACGTCACCATAAAATACCACTTTGAATTTGGGTTGTATCTACCATTTGTAGCTGTTTGAAACAACTGCGCCGTTTCTGTCAAACAAATATTGATTCACTTGACTTCTTAAAATTCCTATGTCGTCATACACCTAACTAACGAATATTAGCTTCATTTTGGTTTTATAGTCTTGAAACTGCCTTTGAAATTTGCCTTCATGTCAAAAATATTGTTAAAATAAGAAAATATGGCTTCGTTTGCCCTAAATATTTCGTTACATCTACAATTTTGCCATAAGAGAAAATATATTTACCGTTTCTGTGATGTCATTAAAAACAATTTATACAAAACCAATGAAACACAAAACATCCTTTGTGATGCGACAAGGTTATGCTGGTTATGCTCACAAGTGTCACGTCAACAACATTCGATGTGTCGGTTGTTGTGGGTGAGGGGTTTATATTGAGTAACTGCGAATAAGTTGGCAATTTTATCATATTTATGGAAAGTATGATAGCCTCACTTTTAAGAGCGTTTCGCACGACATCAGGGATTCTTGCGTCTCGACAAATGTCTATGTCAACGCCAATCGGTACGTTTTGGTTTGATCTCGTGAACGTGAATGGTTTCTAACCAGTACGGCGCTTTTTTGGGGGGGGGGGGCAATTGGTATTTATTTACTTTAGGTCCGCAAAACAGAGGGGTAAATAAAAGTCATTCACACGATACTCTAAGACCTCCTGATTTCATTTCTGATACTTATTCCTTCTAGAAACCAATTTAAAAGCACCAGTACACTAGTATCACCAGCATCACCACCAACGGCCCCACCTCCGACCACTGCACGTGTCAAAAGACCGTCTGCGCGGCGCACCCGCTACAAATGGTCCAACCAAGGTTAGGCGAAATTACGGATGATAATAAATTGTAAGGAAAGTGACGTCAAAATAATCGTGGCGGAGCGGTGCAGTGCCGAAGGCAATGCCTTAGGAGAGATTACAGGCAATGGTAAGTCAAATATTTTTAGGTTAAGTGGTTGTGTATCTGGCTTCAGGCCGAAGGCCTGAAGCCTGATGCATAACCACTTAACCTAAAAATATTTGACTTACCATTGCTTGCAATCTATTCATGCAAGCCACTTTTTCCTTTTCCCCCAGTAGGCAAACATCAGTAGGTCAGGTTAGGTAAGGTTTGGTTATGTTCTGATCATTTTCTCATGCTCTATTACCTTTGCTAAACATTTTCTCTTTTTTATTCACCGTTTTTCTTGTGCTTTGGTATTATGACGTCATTTTCATAACGTCGAAAACTAATGAATATGCGCATCATTTTTTCTTTTATAGGGCAGTGTTGTATGTTTCGTTTTTGTCGCGGAAGCTTTCTTCAGTGTGTATTGTGTAACAGTGCGCGGTGTAATGTGCTGGGGTTTTAGTGGTATCTTATTTTACATTTTTGATGCATTTAAGCATCATATCTGAATTCAGGACATAAAATAGCGTAAGAATGTGCATTTTTTCTTGTTAAAATAATATTGCGGACCTAAAGTAAATATTTACCGGGCAATTAACCAGCAAGGTTTTACACATAAGAAATCAGCCCCGCGTTTGATGTCTCTCGGACGACGAAGATTCTACGCCATCCGGCCAATCCCGTTCAGTCAGCTGCGGTTATGAAACGTGATTGACTGGATGACGTAGAATCTTTGTTGTCAAAGAGACATCAAACGCTGGGTAAGTTTTGTTTTTTATATTATAAAAGTCAAAACATCTGAGTTGATATGTGTGTATGTATGTAACGAGTCTGTTCCCTTTGGCAGGCTAGGTATTGCATGGAAACGGTGCAGGCCAATGGGGTGAAATTTTTGCACTAAGTTGGATGCATCAACCATTGGTTGTATCAACATGGTCATTGCTCCTACCTGCAATATGTTGTTCTTGCAACTGACTTTAGTGGTCATCCTACTAATGCTTTGCAAATAGTGTCTCAATTTTGAGCTTATTCATCCAAGCCATTCTCAAGATCTGGAAGCAACCCCTGCAGCACCCCAATCCTGATTAATGGGTTGTTTTTTGGGTACCTCACATGGTGTAATATCAATGTTTCAAGGCACTTGGCCCAGTGATGGCCCACTTATTTGTTGAGAACAAAATTGATAGTTACTTATTTTGCACATGACACATGTATTGCAGGCTGCCTGCGCCTGCATGCATCAGAAATGGTCTATAGCTAGTAGAAGGAACAAAGTATCCATTTGAAAAAGGTAGCAAGTCAATGGATTGTGTGGCTGCTAGGCTGTTACTAGCCTCTGAAAGCATGCCTGATGGCAGTCAGACAATTTTCTGCTACCTAATCTACCTGAGACTTGTGTTGCACTCACTGGTAATTATCTTATTTTCATTTGAACATGATCAAAACTCTGTAAAGACACAATGTTAAATTTCACTTGGTTGCTGATTGAAATTTTATGCTGTGATTGGTTGATCTTTGTTGATAAGATGAAAATAATCGAGGATTTTAAACTCTCTAGCTTACTAGCATGCATTCATCATAATTTACATACCTACTGACAAAGGCTCTGTTCTCTCTTCTCTGTTCAATGCACGGTATAGACTATAGATGTTGCTATTAAAATATATTGTCATTTGGAGTTGACACCTTTGATGGGAACAGACAGCTTTTGCTCTTTTGACACCTTAATTGAGATCAGAAGGCATTTGTGCTTTCCTTCCATTGCTGGTGAAGTAATGAACTTTACCTGACTCCTGGTCACAGATGTTAACCCTCGCGGGCCCGGGGGGGGGGGGCGTTTTTCGCCCCCCCCCCCTGGCGAATATTTGCGATAGCTCCCGAACGCTTAGGGATAGGAAGGCGAAACTTTCAGTACCTTTTTTCCCATCAATTTGACATCTTCTGAAGTAAAAAATTTGGACCTAGCCCCCTTGATGACGTCACAAGGTCCATTTTTCTAGACCCCTGCACGGCAAACTTCGGCGTCACAGACGCAAACTTCAAATAGCTGCTAAAAATAGAGTTTTAGAGATAAAGACAAATTACGAGCACGGTTGTGTAGCGTTTGACCTAGAGAAAAATACAAAAATAGTTTTGGTGACCTGAGGTCAGAGGTCAGGTCAACGACCCCAAAATGTGGTTTTAGTTTTTCGCAAATAACTTCGACAAAAATGGTCCTAGAGCTACGGCAGTGGTACCATCGCATTCGTCTTGTCAAGCCGCGTCGAATGATATATATTTTGTTCGGAAAAGGTCAAATTTTATGTTGACCTCATGTGACCTCGAATGACCTCTGGTTGACCTTGACACATGAAAGGTCGTTTATGATGGATTTGTACCCGCTGATCACGAATCTGGCATCTATTTTCCTCTAAGCCTTCATTTAGAGCTTCTGGATTGCAAAATTGTCTTATTTATTATTAATAACTTGAATCAGTGAAATAGCCTCTAGCAGGGATACTCTTCTGTGACCTTGACCTTTGAGCAGCCTTGTATCGTAAGATGAACCACAAATAGGGAACTGATAAGCCTCAAAACATCTTGGAAGTTAGCACGCAATATATGCGAAAAAGTGCCAAGTTTGAGGTCAATTTTGAGCGTGACCTTGACCTTGACCTTTCACTTTGAGCACATTTTCAGAATCCTCAGATTCTCTTCTTTCGTTTGACAGCCAATTTCGCCGGTTTGATGCAGCCTGCCGTCCTCTAGAAGGCTTACTTTGAGATCACTACACATGTGGCGGCTTTTGCCTTTGACCTTGACCTCTGACCTTGAAAACTGACCTGAGGTCAAAAATTTTAGGTGCATTAGAATCGTCTCGTAAGGACCTTTCGGTTGGTATCGCTTTTGTTTCCGTAGCTCCCTTATTTACGGAGTTAGACAGGGGGGGGGGCGAAAAACGCCCCCCGGGCTGCGGTGGTTGGGATTACCCCCCGGGCCCGGCCGGGTTAAGGTTTGCTCCCGTTTTGCTGTGGAGGGTCTGACACTGCGTGTTTGCAGGTGAGGCGAGACGGGCGGCCTCGTCACTGCACAGCGTGCCGGCGACGCTGGACCGCCAGCAGGAGCTGCTGCTGGACGAGATGTGTCTGCTGGTGGACGAGAACGACCGCCAGGTGGGCGCCGCCACCAAGCGGCGCTGCCACCAGTGGAGCGACGGCTCGTGCCCGCTCCACCGCGCCTTCAGCGTGTTCCTGTTCGACTCGCGCGACCGGCTGCTGCTGCAGCGGCGCTCCGACGTCAAGGTACGCGGTGCTCTCCGATCACCGTCACTCCTGGTCCTGGTCTGTGTGTGGTTTATGTGGGCTCACATTTATGAAACAACGGCGTATGATGTGATTAAGCGTATAATTTCAATCGCAAGTGATGCATCCGACTAGGACCACCCTCGCCCTGTGTGGTAGCGTTTTACCATCGTTCTCCAGTTGCGTAACTTTGTGTGTCAGTACCCGCCAACCGACGTGTGTCCGTTGTCGCCAGATAACATTCCCGGGCAACGTGACCAACACATGCTGCAGCCACCCGCTGGCCGTGCCCGGCGAGACTGAGGCCGAGGGCGGCAGGGGCGTCATCCGGGCCGCGCGCCGCCGGCTCGCCATCGAACTCGGCATCGACCCCAAACAGGTCAGAGGATACTGACTGCTGAGATCCCCGGTCTGCAGCCCAGGGTCGCTAATCGACGTCTCTGCCTCCTGCCGGTATTCATCAGAGCAGTTCTCTTGCAACCTGACTAAAGTGTTGTGTGCATAGTGCAGGCAACGGTAAATTAAGTAGTTGTTTCCTGTGCATTTGTTTGCGTTACTCCCGTGGGTCGGATGGTGACGCTACTGCTCTCCGACAGGTGCCGACCTCTGCCTTCCACTACCTGACGCGGATGCACTACAAGGCGGCCTCGGACGGCGGCGTCTGGGGCGAGCACGAGATGGACTACATCCTGGTGGTGCGCGCCGACGTCGACCTGGCGCCCAACCCCAACGAGGTGAAGGCGGTCGACTACGTGGCGCGCCACGAGCTGACCGGCTTCCTGTCGGGTCTGCGGGCGGACGGCGTGCTGCCCACGCCCTGGTTCCAGCTCATCAGCGACACGTGGCTGATGCGCTGGTGGGAGAACCTGGACAGCCTGGCGCAGTTCGAGGACCACCAGACCATCCACCGGCTGTGAGCGGGCTGTCGGCCGGCCGGCGCCCCCAGGCTGCGGCCGGCGCTGACGAGCCGCGGGCGGTCCGGGACGGATGTAGGTAGGCCGGGACAGCGGGTACACGATGGCTTGTGGGAGACCCGCCCGCTGTCGGGTATCACCATACCGTTATGAATCGGCGCCGCGTGGTCCCATCAGTAGGTGAACCTCATGTTACTTCAAGTCCGTGGCGGGGCACAGGCACGCTTTACTCTCCACAGCGGTGGATCTGCTTCGCCCTCGACTCTTCCAATGCCCACATTTTTTCCAAACAAGTGCACTTTGAAGCGAAAGGATGGTCGTTACGTTTATGTCATATGTAATGCCATGTACGATAAAAAGTTTCAAATTTCCTGTGAAAAGTTTGCCAGCATGCACAATCCCAAGCGTGGGGACGCGCCGCCGTACCCCTCCCCCGCTCCCACACCGCCCCTGTCGGTCCCCGCCGTCCGTCCTGTCATCTTGGCTCGGGCCTCCGTCAGTACCGGGTTATATTTGGATAGTGAGTCGCCCACACCACAGGGCTCCGGCTCCGTGACTGACCGCTCACGGCCGCACGAATTCATCGTTCAGCCTAGTAACGTAGTAATTTATACCGTAGTTAAATCGTAGCAGAAAAACGATGGGCAGATGCAATCGTACGGCAAATAGCGTTTTATGAAATGTTGTCTGTTGACATTTGTATATTTAGATTTAATAGGAGGGGCTGATGGCGACTTTTCATTGATATTTCTTTTTGCGCAGATAAGGGCGTAAACATCACACATTCATTTAACCATTGTTTGACTTTTTCTTCCACCGCTGGTTGAGTAAGCAGGTGTGCCAACGGCTGATCTGCTTGCGAAATGTGTGCTGGTTGCTGAATGTCATGTCGTTGCCTTCTAGTTTCGCACGAATTAGACCACTGACGTGGGCTAGCGATGCCGTCTGAAGTCGTTGCTGTGCCCATAGATGAATTAATGCTCATTTAGGGCCGCCCCGCCGTGTACCGACACCCCGAATCCTCCCTAGCTCTGCCGTCCGGCCCGCGGCTACCCCTCCCCCTCTCCCGCGCCGGAACGTCCGGTCGCCTATCGGGACATCGCTTCCGCTCTGTCCGGCATGGTCTGAGACCCATTCAAAGTACACGTATATTCGTTGTTTCAGTCCAGTCACAGTATTCAACATTTCTCCTCGACCGTTTCTGTCGTTTGTCGCATAGTCTACCGAATCGTATTGCAGAAAGCAAGCAATTAATCAAAATGTCGGCGACCGAGCCATGCCGGCTACCTGTGATGGCTCAACCTATTACGGAGCTTGGCGGAGCAGTCGTGCCGGCTGATGAGTAGGGAATCGCTGTACCGCGAAGGCGCGGACTGGAGTCCAGCTCAGCTAAACGGCCATCTACCGACATTCCAAGAGATACTAACGCGAAAACACCCGAATTAATCCCAATCCAAATCCTTCTGCTGTCTTAGTTTTCAAAGACGTGTTCTCAGTATTCAGTTGTGTGCTTCTGTCAGTAACGTCACCAATGCTTCATTGCCTGCTTGTGAGTCTGGTCTGCCCAGTATTACGTTGCACCGTCCTGCGGTGCGGCTTGTACGCGATATTCGCTCGGGTGTGTCGCTTTGCTCACCGTTAGTCGTCCGCGAACCGGGCGGTCTCCGGTGGAAGTGAGCCGGGTCGGCTCCCTGGCGGAGAGTGAGCCCGGTGTCTGCGAGTCGCGGCCGTGGCGTGTCGCGGCCGAGTGTGCGGCGCCAGGCGAGCCACAAGGAGTCACAGCATTGACTTCTTATCAGACTACGTTCCTCGCGTCTTCGCTCACGATGTCTATTTGTGTATTTTGTACATGAAGCTTTGCTACAAGTTTGTTTTTCTTTGCTGCTGTTAATTATTTGAACTATCGAACAAATATACTGTAAGTCATCCTTTCTACTCAGGTGTTTGCCTAGTGCTTTGGACACACTCCAGAGAAGTGATATCAGTAATACACGAACGGGATTGATTCATCTAGGTACAGCACAGCACACAAAACCCAAACGTTCGCAGAGAGCGAATTATTGGCACGGAAGGAGTAGCCCAGATCCGTCACAAACTTACTACGAATGTCCTCTTCCCTTTGGTCTCGAGCAGCAATGTTACAGCGTCTTTCTCGAGCAGCGATGTTACAGCATCTTTACCAGCCTCGCCAGACCAATGCAATTTAAACAGGTAGGCGTCCGCTGTATTGTTATGTATTTGTCCATCGACAAATTTTACCAGCAGAGTGCCGACAAAACTGACATTAAGTAGGACAACAAAGAAGATGCATTCAATTATGTAATCCCGCTAAGCGCCGGTTCATCAATCATATTCCCATGAGTGAGAATATGTGCGGACACTGGGACTCGACAGAAGCAGATTGTTCAGGTATAGTTCAGGTAAAGGGTTTGATCGACCCTGGCGATAGCACCCACCAGGGGCTGGCGGTATCCGGTCCGTATCTGCCAGACGGTCGCCGACCTGACCGGACCCCGTGCACCACCCATTTGTGTGCTGCACCAGCCAGCCGCCCTCGCACGCACCGTTCAATGCGGTCGTCCCAAACACGCCAGGCAGTGTCAGCAGCGCAATGGCCTTGTTTATTCCCTGCAGCGTGCGCCATTCAGTCCTCCGGTTGGCCACAGAAATACACACACACGGCTGGCGTCACAGAGGCGCGACACATTCCTGAGCTCCGCCGGCGGCCGTGACGGCTTTTGGCAGTCGTGGTCCCGGACAAACTGAGCTGCCCACTGGCGTCCACCGGCTGACCCCGGCGCACAGACCGACAGACCGTCCGCACACCCTATCCAATCGCTCCTCTCGTCAGTCACACGGCTTGGCGGGCGGCCGTCCGCGTGTGTACGGCACGCGGCGGCGCCCCACGATGGCCTTCTCATGATCGCATCACGTGCTCTAATATCAGCATCATTCATATATTGATTGACAACCAATAACAGGTACTAACAGCGGCAGTGCGTCGCTAAAAGGCTCGTTTGTGTAGATGGTCCTTGATTCGCCGCGCGTGGTTCGGGAATGTTGCTATGCTGTCGTCGACACATTTGACTGCGCACTCCTCGAACTCGACCTTGTAGCCCTGGACCTGTCAAACGGATGGGGCACCTGATGAACGGTGGGGACATACGGATTTCGCGGCGGCTAAGTGGCCTTCGGGGCCAGCTACTTCGCTAGCAAGGTCCATCAAATTTGTTTCTCGTTCGAAACTGATCCACATAGGACTGAAGAGAGATGAGAAATACGGTTGAGATTATTGTTGAAGTAGCTTGGCAACATTGGTCACAATTGTGAAATCAAAACGTCATCCACATCATGTAACGGATAAGTGTACCATGTCTCACCTCCGCTTCTGTAGTATTCGGGCCAACTTTGTCTTTGATTTTATCTTGGCACTGCATTACGCACCGCTGAAGACGCTCCTGAACGTGAATAATCCACGTCAAAGACACGTTTTATCACACCGTCAGGTGTCAACTAATTCCTGCTTACATTTCATTGCCACTTACATTTACAATACACTTTAGAGTTCAGAGTACACATATTTACGAGTCGACACGCATACATTATTTATATTATGCGTATGTAATAGCGAAGTGAGTTGTAAAAGGAAAGAAAAATGAGCAAGATAGCTAGCAACTACTTTTGCCACTGTTAGAAAGAACTGGTCTACCTATTTCCACAAATAAATCAACAAATTGTATTCACAATTGAAAAATTCAACACTTGATGATGGTTGTCAAGGAACGTATCAGGAAATGCTAATAACAGGCTCGTGAAGACGAGTTTTCAGTTTTATTTCTTGATTCCGACTTAAAAACTCAGCCATAGCAAAAAAAAAACGACAGAATAGCCACAAATAACCGATTTAATATCATGTTGCAATGAATACACTAATTACGCACATCATCGGTGGTTTTCTCATGTAGGTAGGTACTTACTTGAATGTCACTCATTTGTGTCTGGACGAAGTGTTGCGCCTTCTGCAGCGGAATGGAGCACTGTTCGATGCAACCATGCACCTTATCAATTGAAGAGCTGGGATCATCGCAGCAGCGAGCAGCGCAGCGATGCATGTCACCCTGCCGACAAGGGACCAAGTCAGTTAACTAGCTGGATAGTGGATAACTACCCTTTAGAGTAGAAGTCATGCCACACACAAAACCAAACAGGAGCATAAGCTTAGAATGTGAGTCCCAGCCAGATACATACCTGCATCTTTCTTAGATAGCTCTTATCTATGTCATCAACCATGCTGGTCATCGATGTCTGCACCCGCTCTTGAGCTGCTTCTGCCATTTTTGTGTAACTTAGTCTGATCTGAAAAGTGAGATACATGTTGCTTGTCAGGCTTACAAACACTCAGGCCAAAATTTGCAACAGACCTGAGCAATTGAGTGAATGGTACATAGTTGTCCCAAAAGTATATTTTTGCTTGGATGTCAGAGGGAAAACTGCTTACCAAAAGGGGATGAGAGTGAAAAATTGACAGTCAGGTAAGGCCCAAAAAGAGTGGGAAAGGACAAAAACCATCTATCAACAATTGTGGCAGACAAAAGGGTGCAAACCAACCATCCACCCAATTGCTCTTTCTCAATGGAATTGGGAGTGGAAAGGTCTTGAAAATTGAAAGTGAGAATGGAAAATGATTTTCATTTGGATGCCGTTTCCCACCCAAATCGACCAATTTTAGGACACTGAATTGGTACTATTAGTCTCAAGATAAGGGCTCAGGCGACCTGTAATTCGGATGCGGTGAACACCCTCACCCTCGCCACAACTCGAGTGGGGGTGGGGCTGGGTGGGAGGAGAGGTGAACTCGGCCCGAGCTGCGGCTAGGGTGAGGCACGGTCATAGAATACTAATAGAATGGGGTGAGGGTATTCACAGCATCAAAACTAAGGTCGCCTGGGTCCATATCTTGAGACCAATATACATGAATCTAGGTTAGGTATCATCTATCAGGTTAACTAGTTAGGTATCAACATCCACTAGTTAACCCTCGCGGGCCCGGGGGGGGGCGTTTTTCGCCCCCCCCCCCTGGCGAATATTTGCGATAGCTCCCGAACGATTAGGGATAGGAAGGCGAAACTTTCAGTACCTTTTCTCCCATCCATTTGACATCTTCTGTAGTAAAAAATTTGGACCTAGCCCCCTTGATGACGTCACAAGGTCGATTTTTCTAAACCCCTGCACGGCAAACTTCGGCGTCACAGACGCGAACTTCAAATAGCTGCTAAAAATAGAGTTTTAGAGATAAAGACAAATTACGAAAACGGTTGTGTAGCGTTTGACCTAGAGAAAAATAGAAAAATAGTTTCGTTGACCTGAGGTCAGAGGTCAGGTCAACGACCCCGAAATGTGGTTTTAGTTTTTCGCAAATAACTTCGACAAAAATGGTCCTAGAGCTACGGCAGTGGTACCATCGCATTCGCCTTGTCAAGCCGCGTCGAATGATATATATTTTGTTTGGAAAAGGTCAAATTTTATGTTGACCTCATGTGACCTCGAATGACCTTTGGTTGACCTTGACACATGAAAGGTCGTTCATGATGAATTTGTACCCGCTGATCACGAATCTGGCATCTATTTTCCTCTAAGCTTTCATTTAGAGCTTCCGGATGGCAAAATTGTCTTATTTATTATTACTAACTTGAATCAGTGAAATAGCCTCTAGCAAGGATACTCTTCTGTGACCTTGACCTTTGAGCAGCCTTGTATCGTAAGATGAACCACAAATAGGGAACTGATAAGCCTCAAAACATTTCAAAACATTTTGGAAGTTAGCACGCAAGATGTACGAAAAAGTGCAAAGTTTGAGGTCAATTTTGGGTGTGACCTTGACCTTGACCTTTGATTATGAGCACATTTTCGGAATCCTCAGATTCTCTTCTTTCGTTTGACACCCAACTTTGCCGGTTTGATGCATCCTGCCGTCCTCTAGAAGGCTTACTTTGAGATCACTACACATGTGCCGGTTTTTGCCTTTGACCTTGACCTCTGACCTTGAAAATTGACCTGAGGTCAAAAATTTTAGGTGCCCTAGAATCGTCTCGTAAGGACCTTTCGTTTGGTATCGCTTTTGTTTGCGTAGCTCCCTTATTTATGGAGTTAGACAGGGGGGGGCGAAAAACGCCCCCCCCCCCCGGGCTGCGGTGGTTGGGATTACCCCCCGGGCCCGGCCGGGTTAAAAGCAATGCAAGTTGTAAGAAAGTAAAAAAACTACTTAGCTTTGATAATCTAAATTTAAACTAATTATTGTCATCTCAGTTTTACGGCGTGAGCTTGAGCTTCAAGATTCATGCTTAGCCCATACATTACCAAAATATAAGCTCTGGCAGCTGATCAACACAGTATTGATCGCTGTGAGTCACATGGGCATACTCCCAAAAATCTTCAAATTAAAAAGAAACTCCACTGGTTTTTATTTGTAAGCATCATTGTGCAGTCTTTATCAAACTTCTCCTTGTGGATGTTAATTTTAATTTCTCTCCTTAACTATCTTAGACCGTATTTTACTCTATTCTAGACTCTATTCTTAACCTCTAGAAGCCTTTCCAGTATAGTTCCTGGCATGTCTGTCTACTTGTCTGCATCAGATATTGTGTACTAGATAGTAGATGAGCCCAGTGGGTGTATTGCCAGTTTTCAAAATGATTAAGTGTTAGATGTGATGACTGCTAGCAGCAGACTATGCCAGCCTTGATCAGATGATGTGGATGGAAAATGTGTCACACAGGATGTGGATCCCTGGAGACTGCTTGTGGCTTGTCATGGCAACTATAAGTAGTCTCCCTTGAAAGTACAGTGCACCCAGCACTGGTGCATCATATCTGGGCTCTTTCACAGCCGCTGCTAGTGTGCTGTCAACAAATGGGTCAAACTGGGTTTCCATGGAGACATCAACAGACTTGTATCTCCAACACTGCCACAATGACATCATACAGGTAACATCAGCTTGCAAAATGTGATGGCAGTGTGGTAGCACTAGCAGCATCCAGTGAAACACCACCCAGGACCCATCAGGCCCAAACCAAAGGAAGGCTGCAAAAATTGGGAGCTGCCAAACCAACTAACCTGGGGGACTCAAATGAGACTCAATTGGTTCATTGCAAGTTTGGTGGCTCTTAAAGTGACCCTCCAACCTTCAAAAAAAGGTAATTAATGAATTGGCATATATGTGATGTCCCTTGGTTTTGAAAGATCAAAAATGAGTATCTACCAAATTTCACTGAAAAATATTCACTGGTTTTCATGATATTCAGCTTTTACTTTTGTTTACTTTTCGGGATCTCCACTGTTCCTAGCGACTTATTTGGAAGCAATTATTTGGCAGCCTCGAAGTGCGACAGACGTGCGCAAAGCAGTGCATACCACCACGTGTTAACGATAACTTATGTCAGATTTAAAAACTGTTACATCTCTGCTGACGTCACAAATTCTAAGGGGGCATTCCAATGCATTAGCCCCTTAGAATGGACGCCGGTGAAAACAGGGCGCCGGAGGGCATGTTAGTCACATGACATTTGGAACTTCTCCCGCTCCAAGGGCCTTCTATATCCCAAAGGTCACGTGTAAATTTCACGAACCTTGATCAAATCGCCCCAGGCACCCTGTTTTCACCGTCGTCCCTTAGAATCTGAGGGGTGTTCACGGGCACCGCACACTGCTGCGTGCGGTGTGTGCGGTACGTCCAGCAGGCGTGGGGGTAGGGGATGGGTAGGCGGCTCTGACGTCACGGCTGCGTGCGGTGGACGGTCCGCTGTGGCCAGTCCCGACCGGCCACAGCGGTCGCTGTGTGCGGTGACGCAAGGCTGACGTAGGGACGCAGTGGGCGGAGCTTGGAGGCTGTGTGCGGTCCGACCGCACACAGGGTCCGTGAACAGCCCTCTGAAAACTGCAAGTTTGAAATTCCATATCTCCGAATTAAAGCATTTTTTGATGTTGTAAGTGCCCAAACCGGTATTTGCCAGCCATGGCCACCAATTTGGCTATCTCAACTCAAAACTAATGTTAAGGTGGGATGGTCACTTTAATTTAAGCAGCCTTCCCTCGCTTGAGATGGATCCGGATCCGACGAGCCATCATTGCGCAGTAGGTCAAGGTACTTTCAAGAAAGACTGTACACTAAAATGCAGGCATTTGATACAGAAGCCTTCAAGCAAACCCATTACACATCATTTCAACATAAGATGCCTCATTTTATTACAATTACAACACTTCGATCATACCTCCACCCGTACGTCAAGGCCCTATATACCCCGTACGTCCTCTTCGCCGTTTCACCACACCGGTTTCGCCGCCATGTGTTTTGATTACGTTTCTGCGATCAGCTGATTTTCAGCAAATGATGCGTTCGTATCAAAAGAATTTTTAGAAATGTCTCTACAGTTCAGCTCTTTCACATCAAATCTCAAAAGTGATATCGGCGTCTGTATAAATGAAGCCTGGTATAAATAAAGGGTAATTGCCATGGCAATTGCACTATTATGAATTATCCTCAAAATGCCATGCATAACAATTATATCCTCTACAAAATCGCAGTGTAGATAAAATAGCAAAACAGTTAGGACCTCTGCCGAGAGATGGCGGCACTATGAAACGCCTGAAGGTATGCTGTCCCGCAAGACAGCAGCACGCAGTAGTTGACAAACTTGTCGATAGATGGCAGAAGTAGTAGGCGCCTGGTGTTATGTATGCTGTACCGCGATGTTTTCATGTGGTTTTCATAACAAGGGCCGCGAAGTCGGAGTCTGATTAGGTCGGAACCGACAGTGCTTGCCAGAGTCAACGGAATCTTACCAACTTCGGAATAGGATTAATCGACATCGTTTATTTAGCCAATAGTCATGCTCAAGGTGAGCTTGATCGTATCAGCCCACATTCGGTCCCCTTGGCCTTTTCGCAACTCTTCCGAGCTCACACCTGCTGTTACCAGTCGCTCTAACCAGCTTACAGCTGGTGTTTGTAAGCTTCTCCCAGCTCACAGATAAGTGTTTACTGCTCAACCCAGCCCAGAGTCAACCGCTCTGATTATAGCCTCGACGAGTTGTCTCTACTGCGCTCTACATACCTACATATGGCGTCGTCATCCGTCAGGTACATACACCCTTGGCGGCCAGTTTCCGTCGCAGAGGTCGCTGTGCTGCACGGCTTTCCAGCGCTGGGGTCACCACTGTCGCCGCCGAAAGCTGTTAGCAGCGACTGGCAACGATGAACGCCGAAACCTACTCTACTTGTACGAGTTGACTGCAACTCAGCCGGCCGGGAAAATTTGGAATGTCAACCGCTGAATTTGGAGATTAGAGGACGACTTCGGTACTGGCTAGTGACTTATGGCCGGTCATCACCACTGAACCGTTCTTAATGTGTCAATGCTGTCAACTGTGATATTTATGTTAAACCTTTTTTAGAAACAGTATTACTCTAGTAAGAGTTTCAAATTTTCAATTATCCTAAGTTATAATCTTCTGACATAACATAACTCGTATCAGCACTCCGTTCCGTCGTTTCCTTCCTCAGAACAGTCAAATCTCTCATCTTCACGTCTCCCCCCCCCCATTCCGGGCTGGACGGGCAGCTTTATACCATGCGGGAAGCTCCCATAGGAGCAGGCCCGTAGCCGGCTGAAATGACCGTCAGGGGAGCTGGGTGGCCTGTCCTCGTGATGGGCTCAGCCCCGACGGGTCACCACTCACCAGGGTGCCCGCCCAGATTTACCCCGTTTACATGAGTCAGCTAATGTATCCCACTAATTTCTATCATCCTTCCGGCTCTGAAGTCTGAATTGATCAGTGATTTTGTCAGACCGAAAGAGCGGCTAACTAAACGAAACAAAAAGAAAAGCTCATTTGCATTCACCAGTTATGTCATTACGGCCTCATTATGTAGTTACGTTCCATCTCCACGAGCTCTGCATCCCGTTGCATAACTACTCTGATTTCCAGAGACCTGGCGATCAGAGGTGTCCTTTTTGGGGATCCAGGTAACCCATCCCGCCCCGGCCGCAACCCTTCTCCAGGTAACCACAACTACCCGCATGGGGAACTTCGGTGGTAGCGGCCCGCAACAACCCACATAGCAGCCAAAAAGCTTCTCCACTTTCTAGACATATTTTTCCTGGACATCTTCTTGCATACCTATGTGACGTATTTTAGGGACTAGACCATGCTCCAGCATATTTAATTTCCATTTTGAAGGGGATTTTTTTTTTGTTTAAGTTAAGAGGTTTTTGATATTTTTGCTACCCGCATAAAACCCGCATCAGGGTATTTCCTGGTGATTGTGGGACCGATTCCCTTCTCTCATATCGTGGTAAAGAGAACACACGTTCGAGCTCCGCTGTCATTCGGAGGCGCGCTCCCTCACGCGTCGTGGTCCGGCCGCCGACCCAAATATAGCCTCGCTCGGCGGACCGGCCCCGTATCCTGTAACCACGGATGCTCTGCTCCCGGCACCGACGCTGACGAACTGTAGACAGTCGGAATACACCTCTCGGCCCGTTCGGTTCTCTTCTCTCGCTTCCGCGCCCCTACGACAATGGTGACAGCGGCGGTCGAGGGGACTTGTGCCCCTCACAACGGACCCCAGCCTCTGCATCTGCATTAACATCGCAGACTGGTTAGTCCGTGCTCCGATACGGTGCGTCGCCCCTACGTCACGTCATCGACTAGGGAGCTGACCTGTGACCATCCTGGACTTGTCATCGTCCAGCTGCACCGTCTCCAGTGAGCAGCTCTGCCCGGCAACATCATCGGCCTGCGGCAACCAACGCCATCAGCTGCACTGGACCTCTACGGAGCCCGCCGACAGCGCACGGCTCATCAGCCTGCGCAGTCCTCCTCAGCGTTATCGAGTGATGGACACCACCTCGTATACAACATCTAGCCTGAAGGAGAGAAGAATCTAAAATTCAAGCTAAAAACTCAAGAGAAATGGCAAAATCATTCCAATTAAAAATCGAAATCAAGAAAATTGAAAGAGATAAATGAACTCTTGATATTTTTATAAAAAAGTGACAGTGATTGATAAGTGAAATCTTGTAAAAAAAAAATTGTGAATTTGTGAAAACTGTACTGTCATGAAATTGTTTTCGTCAGTGTTCTGTGTCGTTTGCAGTGTTTCTGTGGTTACTCTCAAAATTCACGGAGAAATAGCAAGTGCAATTTCCTACTTTTGCAGGCACTTGTCTGTGTCATTTCGACACTTAACATAAATTGAGCATTTGTAAACGGAATGAACAGTCAATTACGTGCAAATCGTGGTTCAATCACCGAAACTATATATTTGTCTCCAAAAACGGCCAAAGTTGCCGAGGGCCAGAGATGCCCATGGGACGAGCCCTGCCAAAGAGCAGAGGACTCGCCCAGCCGTAAGCTCCACGACCTTGACAGACACGCACAGCGGTCCGGCAATGGTCCTTTTTCTTACCATTTAATAAGATCAACGACCATTCAAGCCACCGTGGCAGGCAGTAGGTGCAATTGCCACGAAACACCTACTTATCTGTTCATACCATTTTGCAATACGCTCAACCCAAAAAAATTATTCTCCGTTAGCTTGACGTTTGCTCTCTTTACGATGGTCGCTTCGGTTCCCTACGCTTCCCTGGAGGGAGGGAAGATATTGTGGGACCGATTCCCTTCTCTCATATCGTGGTAAAGAGAACACACGTTCGAGCTCCGCTGTCATTCGGAGGCGCGCTCCCTCACGCGTCGTGGTCCGGCCGCCGACCCAAATATAGCCTCGCTCGGCGGACCGGCCCCGTATCCTGTAACCACGGATGCTCTGCTCCCGGCACCGACGCTGACGAACTGTAGACAGTCGGAATACACCTCTCGGCCCGTTCGGTTCTCTTCTCTCGCTTCCGCGCCCCTACGACATGATGCAGCCCGCGCCGGGCCGGTGCTCTGAGATTCCGCGCCGGGCCGCGGGGGGTGTCTGAACACCCCCCCCCCCTTCTAACTCGGCTCCTGGGCCACGTAGCGACACGCGGTAAGCGGCACTCGAAAGAACGTCCAAAATAAGGACGAAAAAACTTTCGTCATTTTTTAGGTCAGGTCAAAGGTCAGGTCACCAGAGGTCACCAAAGGTAAAATGTTGACTATTTCAACATTTTGGAAACTGCCAACGGCTATCTCGGGAACCGATAGAGCTACAGCGCCGCAGAAAAGCGCATTCGATAGCCCTTTTACAGACCTTTCTGATTGATGTCCTCAGATTTGACCTCAGGTCAACGGTTTAGCCTCCAGAGGGCAAAAACTCCAAAAACAGCCGATTTTACGAAAAACGTTTTTTCGGCAATAACTTTTGACTCATAAGCGCCATGACAATAATTTTGCCAGCATCGGGTTCCTCTCGTCGAGACGCGTCGAATGAGCTATAATTTGACCTTGAAAGGTCAACTTAAAAAATTGACCTCAGGTCAAGGTCATGACCTGACCGGAAAAGGTCATGTTGCATATCATTCGATCCGCAACGTCGAGCCGAACACATCCTAGGCGTTTTCAGCGCTCTAGCACGCCTCTATCAAGAGTTATTAGCGAATAACTGTTAGATTCTGTTCGTGACCTGAGGTGACCTCGGGGACATAACGGGGGTCACAGTTGCCATTTTCCGGTTCAGTGTGTCAATTTTACCTACATCTCGATGTTTGGAGTGTCTAGAATAGCGTTCGTGCAAAACAGACGCTTTTCAATTTTCTCCCATTGACTTATAATGGAGGGGCCGCAAAATTGACCTGACCTTAGGTCACCGATATCAAAATTGCGAGATATACATTTTATAGATAGTGTTGCTCTTATCAATCGCTGAACGTTTCAAGGCAATCGTTCAGTCGGTGTAGCTATGACGAGCATTCTTATTTTTTCTGAGGTGAGGTCACTTGGCGTGACCTGGTGACCTGACCTAAGGTGACCTGGGTTTGAAATTTTCACAACATGTGCGGAAAAGACGCACAAACAGGTGTGCCAAAAACGGCAGCGCTCCGCGCCGCCGTTTTTGAGATATCTGCGAAAAACCGCAAGGGGGGGTGTTCAAACACCCCCCCCCCCGGCCCGGCGCGGGTTAAACCCATGCGGGTTTTGTTTACTCGCTCATTGCGGGCTGGCGGGTCGAAAAAGGGCACCTCTACTGGCAATCGTAAGCGCCTCGATGGGTCACAGTGACACTGAGACGGGTAAGTGCACGCATCGTTGTTAACTAGGCCAAGGCAGTTCCCAGCCTCTTCTTCATCAGCCATGGGTTAATGTGCAAGAGTTGCTGGGCTAAACTAATATTGTGCAAACATATATGTACTTACGTATGGTATGTAGGTATAACTGTAAACGTACCCACTACCCAGCCAGCGAGCAATTTGGTTTGACTCAAGTCCGTTTTTCCCCGGCAACTCCGACATGCCAGATTTGGGCCGGTGTAAACGGAACGCCGTCGGAACCGGAGTTTTGGGTCGATATTTTTGGGTCGATATGTCGCCAAAATTGGGTCGATATGGCTTTATTCCGGCTAGCCAGTCTTTGCTGTAGCGCTCTGGAGTTGGTATGGTCTCGGACTGCCATGTTTGGCTCAAGTCTGGCTCCCTGCCATGGCGTGCTACGGCCAGGTCCACCTGCTTCGTATGCTGCTCTGGCTTACTATGACTAAAGTAAGGTTGAGACTTGAGGTACAGCACGGCTGATACGGCATAAGTTCGGCTTTGGTGCGGGCGAGATGCATGTGGGATCGTGTGTCAGCTCGAGTAGACCTCCAGACCTTGCCCGTAATTCTGCCTGAGTAAGTACGGGAGTTAGCCAAAGTAAAACCAGATACGGCCCAGACCAATTTTGCCCGCCTGGGTAAGTATGGGCAAATGCGTAGCATAAAGATACCGCGGTAAACGCCGTCAGCAGTTGGGAATTACATCCGAATGCACGAGTAGGAATAAGCACTGTATAGTGTATAGTTGTGCAGTATGTTTATTTGCAATTAAACAATTGACAATGTTCAACATCAAGCAACACGCAACCACTTATCGTGTACCGCTATACAAGTCTGGCCACAGCGGCGTAAACAAAACGGTAATTGCGAACAGCAGCGGGACAAAATACGGTAGGCACCCGGTCAGCGATAACCACTCAGCCGCCGCACTCTGAGCTCCATCCAGACACTTTCTCTCGCCCGATGACACGTCCCACACGTCCCACACGCCCGGCTTGTGAAAAGGCTGATATATGGCCGGGCAGGCCAGCTGCCGGCGAAGGTCTAGTAATAGCCGAAGTCGTCGTACGGTGAGCCGTAGCCTCCGTAACCGTAACGCCTCCCGTAGCCGTAGCCGTAGCCGTATCCTCGTCCGTATCCGTAGTTGTGGTACCTGCTAACAGTGACCCGCTATTCCGTAAAATTCTTATTCGGTTAAAACTGTTATGAGACATGCATAAGCATAAAACGCTCGATAAGGATTATGAAAATCAAGGGTTAGAGGGGGACGAGGGTTTTAGCTTCTTACTAATGTATCTAAAGCATCAAAAAAACACTACCTGATAAGAAGTTACAAATATTGCACAGTATTGGTTAACATTGACAGACATCAGCCCTAATAAAATTATAAAGGCGTCGCGTGAACTGCCGATTTTTTCTCCGCCGTGTCTCGTATTTAAGATCTAATATACGACCCCGGTCGGATAGGGTCGTCAGTCAGGTGGGGCCGGTCGTGTCGGCCGGCCGGTCGGGGTTGGGCCGGTCGGCCGGTCGGGGCGGGGACGGTCGTCAGTCAGGTGGGGCCGGTCGGCCGGTCGGGGTGTCCTCGGCCGGTCGGGTAGGGCCGGTCGTCGGTGGGCCGCTGACCTGGGTCGGTAGTAGCGCGGCCTGAAGAACAGCTCGGCACCCTGCAGGTCACCGTCGGCTGTGTCGGCAGGAGCGTCCATTGGAGCCGCGGCACACACGGCCGACAGCGCTAGCACGAGCAGCACAACACTCTGCGGCGTGGCGACACGGTCAATACCTTCACCAGGGCAGAGAAGTGCCGCACAGCAGTAAACTGACGCGTCAAGTAAAGCACATCGAGTATGAAGTGTGAGGATCGAGAACACAGCACGTGAAGTCAGTTATTTTGATCGTTGAGAGACGCCAGAATAGTGATTCACAACATGAAACTCCTTCACAAAAGAAATAAACTCAAAACTTTACATCATGCGCAAATGACATGCTTCTATAGAATTCGAATGGAAATCAAATATTTAGCCATTTTCAAGTTAACGGTCTCACTTACAAGCTTCATGTCGATCACAACTTGCAGCGAGTCTCCAATCAGATGGTTTGCGCGTTCCAGCGAGACTCGGCTACTTATATACCTTCCGAATTCCGTGCCAGTTAACCGGTTGGAAATCGTGTTTGTATGCGTATAGTGCGTGTGTATTCCCTGCGCTTGTGGTGGCCCTTCTATTTCAAGCACGAGGACGGGGTCCTCTCGGGCAGGGATTGCACAAGCTGCACGATAATCTCGAGAGTCCGACAGGGGCACAGCGTGATCTCGGAAATACCGGCAGCAAAACACGTGGACCGGATGTGCAAGCCGATCAAAATAGCCAGAGACGCTCGCCAGCGGTGTCCTCCGGACCGCGGCAGTCGGCGGCCGATGATTCGTCAGTGTCGATACAAGATCAATGAGGGGTGGAGAGAACGTGATATTTTCATTGTTCCCTTGTTTGGGAGATGGTAAGGTTTGTTGAAGGATCGAGAAATTCTATATAAAAAATTCAGAAATAAGCTGCCAAACTTAAATTTAATGTGGACTTGGATTCCTAAGCATAATATGGAACGTTACTTTAAGCTATACATATCAAAAGCCGAAACAAACTAAAAGTAGGGAAAACAGTTGTATTTGTCGAGCGAGAAGCTCACCCTATAACAGCTCCTACGTATGTAATGCATAAGGCATATTATGTAAACATCCTTAAAACCAGGGATGCGGAGCCGTGAAAATTTCAGACGGCTCCGGCTCCGGCTCCGGGTGAAATGTCATGGCGGCTCTGGCTCCGATTAAATGGTCCGGCTCCGCCGGCTCCGGCTTCGGCTCCGACTCAGTACATACCCTAATGCGCAGGGATGCGGAGCCGTGGAAATTTCAGACAGCTCCGGCTCCGGCTCCGGCTTCGGAGAAAAAAACGGCTCCGGCTCCGGGTGAAATCTCATGGCGGCTCCGGCTCCGGGCAAAATGTGCCGGCTCCGGCGGCTCCGGCTCCGGTTCCGGCTCCGGCTCCGTACCCCTGCTTAAAACAGATCTAACAAAGGTTCATTATAGCCTATAGGTGCTTACAACATGACAAAGTATTATCAGCTCCATCCACATGTAGGGGGTCACTGCTCAATCTTTATTGTCACGCTAAAAACACGATTTACTTAATAGGCATATGGTTTTCAACCATCTATTTACATGCGGGTAAAATTGAAGCGAAATTATGGGTAAAAAAATCCACTTGTTTTCGTTCGCAATCTTCTGTCTTCTGTACTGCATATGTGCCATTGCTGGCGGTTGGCGCAGACAGCTACATGCTCATGGATGAAGTCGCCGAAACAGTAGGTCGAGGGCCCTGGCCGAGCCGTCCATACAAGAAGTGAGTGACATGCCGAGTAGAAGGCTGAGTGCGCCTCCCACCTCTCCAAATAGCCTGCCGGACAGACAGCGGAGTCAGAACCGACTTACGTCCTCTATACTACCAGCTTCGGCATCTTATTAATGCAGTGCTGTCATGTCGCATTACAAATAACTGCCCGCTATAAGGAATCTAGTTGAATTGGATAATACCATCTTATATCATTGACGGCCGCCAATAAACTGAGAGAGACCTGCCCGATGCGAGAGATCGTTGCTGGTACTGACGTGAAGGAGTCGTAGACGAGTTTCTCGCGCGTCAGCTGGTAAAAGGTGTCGCGGAAGGAGAGGGTGAGCACGGAGAGCTGGTGGCGCGCCAGCACCGGACGCTCGGTGCGCGAGAACGGCGTGAAGTGGAAAAAGTTGAGGCGACACGGCTGCGGACACTGCCGCTGACAGTCGGTGTCACGCAGCAGAGCAGAGTCCTGCGGGCAGGGCAGACTTATGTATGTGGCTAATAGTCGTAGTAAAGAAAAAGATGCTTAATAATTATACACAGGTAGATATTAATTCGTATAGCGCACTTTATTTTTGCCGTATAAGTCATATCAATGCGCTGCAGTCATCAGGCACGCAAAAGCATGCATGTTTAATTGGATGGCTATGCTATTGGCCCGTACCAAGTACCATGCATTTAACCTTCAAATAAGCACAAATGGCAGTTCATTGACCATCTTCACAGAATAATCGATTCACATTTATTATTCTTACTAATGAAACGTACCATTAGCAAACTAGTGAATCGTGATGTTGCTATGCCGAGTCAGCTGAGAAATATCTCGGAGTGAGCTCTCTGAGAGCATCTGTGGCGGTTTTCCGGCCGCCGTGACGGCGGGCCGTCCCACAGTAGCAGATGCGCGCGTCCACAGGTGCCCTGCCGCACCCGGCCACTCCCCACGGCGGTCTGCGCTGACTCACCTGCTCGTCAACGTAGCTGGCCATTGTGTAGGCCTGGTCCGGGTCCTGGCAGGTGCTCCCCTCGTCCAGAAACCAATCCAGGCTGACGACAGACGCATGAACTTACAGAACACATCGCTCAGTGGCGAATCACAGCTACTGGAATCGTAGCGACGTGGGAAACAAATGAATCAAACGGCTTCAGTTCGTTCAACAAGTCCAGAAAATGTTCGTGTTCACTGGTTTACAGTTGTTAGCTATAGTCAAGAGCTTGTACTTTCCTCGGGGAAATACACGATCTCACACATTCGAAGATACCTATAAGCTAAAAACTTGCCCATTAGCAGCTGTGGTCATGACTTTCATTTACAAACATCTGCGCATAGCCTGTTCCACCTATCACATGGTTGTATCACTAGAGTCGGACCAGATGTAGCATACCTACGTCACCCATCGCCAGTACGTCATTCACCGACATGCGCGAAGCCCAGTGACTGAGATCGAAAGCTACTGACCTCAGCTTACCACGACAGGAGCCAACACACCTACACCTGACAGAGCTGCCCCGCACTCCACCCATTAATCTGTGTCTCCATTGGTGTCCAGCCTACCTGCAGCTGTAGTTGAGAGCCCGCCGGACCGCGCGCCCGAAGCAGCGGTTCAGACAGCTGCGCTGGTGGTATCCTGCGTCGTCACGGCACCGCTGCTGGTAGCCGTTGAGCCAGAGTCTTGGGCGCACGTTCAGCTCCACCTTCATCAGCGAGCCGAAGGGCACCTCCACGTTATTCTGGCCGTGCACGAAGAACGGCGTCCAGGCCTCCTGTGGGACCGGCGCGGGAGGTGTCGGTGGTACTATAGTCTGGCAAACCTAAGAAAGAATGGATTTAAAAGGTCACTAATCTTATTGCATATTTGTAATAAATCATTGCAAAGAATACGTACTTACACCATCTGAAGAATCGTGCAAGTAAATGTTTAATTTTCCTTTTCTCTTGTCACCATCTGCAAATCTAAGATTGAAGAAATAACCATTAAATTTGATATGTCGTCCACCACGTATTTCTGAAACAACGAAGTGTATCGGTTCAGTTAACCCGCGCACCGACGGGGGGGCGGATACCTGCCCTCCCCCCCCCCCGATATCTCGAGAACGAAGCAAGCTAGCGACAAGCGGCAAAAGGCATGGGATACAGACGGACAAGGTCTACAATTTTTACAGAATTTATGTTCAGGTCAGGTCAAAAATGACATCACAGGGGTCAAAAAGTCCAAATGTCGGCGCTACATATATAAAGAGTGAAGAGATATATGCGCTACATATGTGAAGAGAGCTTTTCACGAATAAGTTTCGAAGTGGCCAAGCTAGACGATATATATATATATATATATGTTACAGGCAAAGTGAAAACTCGGGCATTTTGCAAAATGCCTAGGCAATTTGCAAAATGCCTGACCCGCCAGGCATTTTGCAAAATGCCCAGGCAGTTTGCAAACTGCCTGACCCACCAGGCATTTTGCAAACTACCTAGGCATTTTACAAAATGCCTGAACCACCAGGCATTTTGCAAAATGCCTGGGTTTCCATATAATCCACCGTTTTTGTGGACTACAGGCGTTGATCATAAACGTTCCACTGTGACTGACCCTAAAACACATTTCACATGTGTTGTGGGCACATGTGACACATTCCACGGTCACGAATACAGGGTGTCACGAAATTGTTGCGGGATGTTGTACTTGTGTCCCGAAATGTATCGTAGTTGCGTCAGTGTTCTCCAGCACCTCGCTGACAAGTTATCAGCGGCCACATGGTCTGTCCCCGCGGCACCTGGTGAATCTCAAATAGGCCTCTGTAGCCCATCATGCCCCAAACGAGAATCTCCAGTGCCCAGTGGGTGCTTCACCGTCTCGACGGTGCAGCGCCTCTGAGCTGTTGTTGGCCCAGAACTGCTTGTCGGGACGGTTAGTGACTAAGAAGAGCTCTAATAGCCGTTTTCACGACGGGCTATCCGGCGAGTGCACCTAATTTGACCAAATCTGCACCTAACCTCTTTTACAGCAAATATCTTTATCTTATGAATTTATTTCAGTGTTTTAACCGATGATGCTCTCTGATAATATGGCAGAGGAGGCATATAAGCAATTAGTACAACCCTAGCTGATGGCTACTAAGAGACACACTGAACCTAATTTGACCAAATATGCACCTAATCTGCACCAGATGTGAACCAAATGTGTACCAGATGGCCGTCGTGAAAACGGCTAATATCGCCTCACGGCCTCATCATTGAAAAGTCTGATACTCTAGTCCTGAATGGTCCAGATTTGGTGGGTTTTGTCGAAATCCAGCTGCATCACTTATGGATGACGGTGAGTCAGGGTTGCAGCCTGAGGTTGAGCGGCTTCAGCTTCAGGGTAAAATCTTCAGATACCGGGGGATCGCCGATTTAGATGCCGAGTGCCCTGGTCCAGATGCCCTGGTGCCGGACCCGTTCAAATTACATCCATTCAGCACTCAAGAGGGGCATGGAGGGACAAGACCGCCCCAACCGCGTATCAAGTTCGTGACACTCTGTATACCTACGTCTTGCGTCAATTCTGTCGAGATGGAGCCAACGCTGAATGGACATGAGCCACCGTCTCCGTACCTTTCGTATAGGTATACGGAGTTGTAGCCGTGTGTATAAAAGCTGCGATGTCCAGTATTCTGCCCTCGTGGGCAACTGTTCCGGCAGAGACGATTGATAATGTACGTAAACGTGTAACAATCAAATTTTCGCAAATTGGAAGAGTATTCTCTTCTGATCAATATCCACCCATAGTATTTTCAAAAAGCCACCAAGAGCTCTTAGAAACAGTACAATCATTGTACCGAGCGCATGTTTACCCACGAAACCACGCCCGGTGCTCGGCACCCGACGGCCGCTGGGGCTCAGTGACCTGAACTCGGCTGCGCTACCCGGAGAACGCAGTGTCCCCTCGCTTGGTGCGCATTGACAGCAATGAACTTTTGTAAGCGGCAGTTACAAATGATGCTTACCTATACATCGTCGCTAGTGCGAGTTTGATGCCAGGCATTTTGCAAAATGCCTGGGAAAATATTTCAGGCAGTTTGCAAAATGCCTGGTGGGTCAGGCAGTTTGCAAACTGCCTGGGCATTTTGCAAAATGCCTGGCCGGTCAGGCATTTTGCAAATTGCCTAGGCATTTTGCAAAATGCCCGAGTTTTCACTTTGCCTGTAACATATATATATATGTTACAGGCAAAGTGAAAACTCGGGCATTTTGCAAAATGCCTAGGCAATTTGCAAAATGCCTGACTGGCTAGGCATTTTGCAAAATGCCCAGGCAATTTGCAAAATGCCTGACCGGCCAGGCATTTTGCAAAATGCCTAGGCAGTTTGCAAACTGCCTGGCCCACCAGGCATTTTGCAAACTGCCTGAAATTATTTTCTCAGGCAGTTTGCAAAATGCCTGACATCGAACTCATACCAGCGACGATGTGTAAGCATCATTGTAAGTGCCGCCCACAGGGGTTAATCACAAGCGATACGCACCAAGTGGGAGGACACACAGTGAGACATTCTCCGGGTAGCGCTACCGAGTTCAATGTCACTGGGCCCCAGGCAGCGCGAGCGGCCCGGCCGCCGCGCCGGCTACCGGGCGCCCGGCGCGGTTTTATCGGTAAACACGCGTTAAACACGGTTATGTTTCGAAGAGCCTTGATGACTCTGGAAATACTTTCTGTGGATATTGATCAGAAAAGAATGTTCTTTCGATGTATGGTAGCTTGGTTGGCGAGCCACACTTCTACATTATCAATGCATTGTGACTGTGTAAAGATGAACATGCCCGTTGCATGTAAAACTTGTAATTTCTAAGCGTCTTTTTATTACAAAGGTTTATTTATTACAAAGTGGGTCGTGGATGACCAAAAACTTGCTTTTCTGGAAAAGCGGAAAAGCCACATGTTCTTGTTGTTTATGGAATGTATCTCATCTCATTCCAATGCATTGCCATTGTTTAAAAAAAAAATTAACAAAAATGTTTATTGGATACGCTTGTCTCTGTTCTATCGATCGCTGGCAACCCCGTGTCGCTGCGGCCCTCTCTTGCCGTGATGTAAATAAGCACGGGAAACGAAGAATGTCGGGTCAATATTCGGCCGGTCGCCGCGTTTTTCCGCGCCCATGTTTCTCTGTGCCATGCTCCGCGCCCCATCGCAGAACTCCTACAAACGAACGGCTACAACTCCGTATACGAAAATTATAGGGAGACGTTGGCTCAATCTACACCATTCAGTAGTGGTTCCATCTCGACGGAAGTGGCGCAAGACGTGGGTATATTCGTAAATATTGAATGTGTTTGGTGCTCAGGCACATGGGAGCGACATGGTCAACGCCTGTGGTAAACAAAAACGGTAAAATAAATCAATCACAACTCAGGCATTTTGCAAAATGCCTGACCCGCCAGGCATTTTGTAAACTGCCTAGGCAGTTCGCAAAATGCCTGGTGGGTCAGGCAGTTTGCAAACTGCCTAGGCATTTCGCAAAATACCTGGCGGTCAGGCATTTTGCAAATTGCCTGGGCATTTTGCAAAATGCCTAGCCGGTCAGGCATTTTGCAAATTGCCTAGGCATTTTGCAAAATGCCCGAGTTTTCACTTTGCCTGTAACATCAGGCGCGTAACCACCACTGGGGACACTGGGGACCGGTCCCCAGTAACTTTTGGGTTGCTGGGGACCGTCCCCAGTAAAACCGACGACCTCCTCAATTTGCTCAAATAGCCAAAAAGCTGGAACAGCTACTCAGTGGCCCAACAGACCGAGCAAGCCTGGACAAAGTTCGCAGTTCGTTAGAATGGTGGCCCGAGGAACTCGAGGTGGACAACTTGTCCAGTCAGGTGCGCGTGTTCCTGTCGGGAAGACAGGTCACGTGCCTCAAGCACGCCAAGGAGGCCTTCCAAAGCCTGAGTCATGACGCCTGATCTCTCCTCCCATGCAAGTCGAGCAGCTGCTGAGGCAGCTGACGGTGTTGCCAGCAGCATCGGCTACCGCAGAGCGAAGCTTCAGTGCCTTGCGTAGGCTGAAAACATGGATGCGGTCTACACTGAGCCAAAGGCGTCTGGACGGAGTGGCTATATAATCACTGGCGGATCCTGGGGGGGGTCCACGGGGTCATGACCCCCCCCAAAAGGTCTGAGAGGGTCATTTGACCCCCCCCAAAAGCCGAAGACCTAAATGCGCTATAGACGCCGTCTTGCATGCTCAAAATCACCTGTCAAACACTTCTGAGCTAATACCTTTGTTTTTCTGGATCGTGTTGCGTGAAAAGGCGTATTGAAGACCAGAATCTTACTCGTTTTTGTCTCAACCGTGCGAGCACCAGGGGATGATCCAGGAAAACTCCAAGGGGATGGTCATGAATTTAATTCGTGGTGCCCCTACCTATACGCAAAATTAAAAACTCAACGGATTTCGGTCACTTAATTTTGGTGATGTCCTATTTTCATTTTTATTTTGTTTGTTTTATTTTTAGTGCCCCTGGGCCCTGGCAGGTCAAAATCACGTCTGAGGCGAAAGAAATTCACGGGAATCCCAAAAATCACGTCAGGACATTCAGGGCCCTCTGACCAGCCTGACAGCTAGGGCCCTTCTTACTTCCTGGGGCCTCCAGTGAATAACCGCTAGTGTCTGTGTCTGACCGCTAGGGCCCCTCTGACTCCTCAGTAGGTAGGAGGCCCTCTGTAGAGGAGGTCCTCTGTAGAAAGGAGGCCCTCAGTAGAGAGGAGGCCCCCTGTAGAGAGGAGACCCCTTTAAAGAGGAGGCCCTCTGTAGAGAGGAGACCTGCTGTAGAGAGAAGGCTCTATGTAGAGAGGAGGCCCTGTGTAGAGAGGAGGCCCTCTGTGGAAAGGAGACCGCCTGAATGCAGAAGGCCCTCTGAAGAGTGGAGACCCGCTGTAGAGAAGAGGCCCTCTGAAGAAAGGAGGCCCTCTGTAGAGAAGAGGCCCTCTGAAGAGAGGAGGCCCTTTGCAGAGATGAGGTCCTCTGGCTCTTTGAAGAG